CATCCTGTGAAGGGTAAGGGAGTCCAGGAGGTCTGGATTGGAGGGAGGAAACTGTCCTACTTCCCGTCCCTCTTTGCCCCCTTTGCTGCTTCAAAGGGCCCTTGGGTGGAGGTGCCATGCAGCAGGTTGCCCCACACAGCAACCACCATGTCTCCGCATGCTGGCCTGGTGCCTGAGGCCACTGCCCGCCCCACCCTGCCACCAGGAGGCGCAGCTAATTGTCCCATGCAGTGAATCACCTGGGGACAAGTGTCCCTCAGTAAATTGCATGGGACCATGGGGTGGGGGAGGAGTGCCGGCAGAGGGCCAGCTGAAGATTAAAGCCTATAGTGAGTCTCCTGCGATTGCGGGGAGCTGTGGTGAAGTGGCGCAGCAATGTGAACGCCGCCAGTTTTCATAGACTGACTGTGGATGCTCCAACTGGTTATAAATGTGAACCAATCGCCAAGTACCCGATATGTGATCATGTGATCATTGGGGAAAGTGGCAGCCATAACTTTGAGGACAGAGTAACTTTTGAAGGATCTGTCATAATTCTGAATTGTTTAGCAACTGATAGTTAAACTAGGAGTACCTATGTGCTTGAAGCCCCATTAATTGCTGAAAGGAGCATTTTCCACAATGTAGCCAAATTGGATAGGGTGTTGTAGTTTGGAGGTGCAAAATCAGATGTACAGTATAATTGCAATGGCATGTAGGGCTGACCTTGGAAGACAGGGCAAAAAGAGACAACTGAGGGAATGGTCAAATAAAAGGCAGCTGAGCCTGCAGCAAGATTGTGGTTGGACCAGAGGGTCAGAAGAGACCTGCCCTAGCTTTTTGACTGTAAAAGGGATGAGGGTAGAGAAGTACTTTCAGACTTACAAGATCTTGTTAATGTAGCTTTTCAATAAAGTAGAATTAGCTCATCTCATTGTGTTTTCTGTCTGGTGTTCCTCACAAGGCTGACATCAATCTTCCAAGGCTCATGCTCTCTTTCAAAGAGAGGACTTTTAGGAATGACTTCCAATTCCCAGAGAATTCCATTATCCACCGAGCATCTATAGCAATAGAAGAAAAAAGCCATGTCTACATTATTTCACAACCTATGCTGCAGATAACTGGATCTGAGATCCTGGGACTGATATTAGGCTTTTGAGAGTAATTTGAGGTTTTGTGCTATTCTACTGACCTCCCTGCTATGCAGCAACATCTGTGCCTGAGTGCTCAACACTGCTTTTCTTCACAAGAACTTTGAGCTAAGATGGAATGTGTACCCACTATGGGGTAAGCACAAGGTATAACATATATTTCCCTCTTTTTTGTGACATTTATTTATTGGCTTTTATGTTGCATTGTTGTTTGGAACTTTGTATCCCATCCAGAATCATTGATGAGTTGGATGCTTTAGGAAGGTTGGCTACTTAATGGATTAATTAATTCATGGTTATCACAGGACTGGAAGCATGAAGCTGGAGTAGATGGGTGTGAGGCAGAAGATAGTCATAGGCATGATTGTTCACTGGACCAGCCAGACATAGAAGGATCCAGATACACTAACAGCAGACATGCTATCAAAATGTTTTGGAAACATGTTTGAATTGTTGCTAGGCAAGGCTTTGCCTTGACAATAGTGGCCGTATTAATGAATAACTCATCTGTGGTGGCTAAGAGATCTTGCATTTACCCTCAAGATATTTTAACACAGGGGTCTTCAAACCTGGCCCTTTTATGACTTGTGGACTTCAATTCCCAGAATTCCTCAGCCAGGCACACTGGCTGAGGAATTCTGGGAGCTGAAGTCCACCAGTCATAAAAGGGCCAAGTTTGAAGACCCCTGTTTTAAGATAATGAAAGCTGCCCTGGGGTTGGGAGCTCAATGAAACATGTAATCATGATGTGGAAGGAAAGACTGCCTGAGTAGCTTATAGGCACCATTGCTCCTTCTTCCCCATCCCTTTTTGGTCTGCTTTCATCACCAGGATGATCCAATTGCCAATCAATCTGCAACTGCCAATCAAAAAGCAGCTTGAAGAGATGCAGACAAGATGCAGACAAGAGGCAAAATGGTTGCCTGGATGCTGTGCTGCCACAGAATTTGTGAGGAAGAGGCTGAATAAATGGAGCCCAAGCCCAATAAAGAAGCAAAGTAAGACAGTTCTGAAGAGAAGAAGCAATGAGAAAGTAGGCAGCAGCTGAAGAAAACTGGGGGGGGGG